TTGACGTTTCTGTAGCAGTGTCCTTGTTTTTACAAGGAGGGTTGCTAGCCTCTACCTCTAGAAAGCAAATTTAAAAGCTCTTTACTGATATCTGTCTCTTCACACAAAACCAGTGGTCAATGTGGTATGGTTGAATTTTTATATCCACCGGTACGCGCATAAATTCTTATGAAATTTCTTCCGGTTTTACTTGGAGAGATACTAGGGGAAAGCTGCGAACACAGAGAATGTTCGATATCAGACAAGATAGCTTTAGCCAAATGCTCTAAGAATTAGAATGCCTACCAGCAACAGTGTCAGTTAACTGGGTCATAGGGGCACCACTAACCCTGTTTACAGCTTTTAAAGTCATACGGAATATAAGTATTTTTTTCAGAAGCCCAAGGAAGAATCAAGTGAGATGTTGAAGAAGAACAATATAAACGCAAAAGATATCCGATGCTTAATACCTGATAACTGCATTCATCTATTCGAAATTACCCTAGATATTCATACATTTTCAGCTTGTTTCCTCTTCGCTGTGATGAAACGTGTGAAATAATTATAAGACTTTATTTAATCGAAAGACATTGAACACGTTTTATACTCATACACCTTCATATAGGTTAGCTCTATTGATCCTTACATACCTAAGTGAAAATAATGCCAAAGGCGAAATTCATGAGTCTGATTTTTAGTGCAATAAGTCTAAAAAAATTATTTCAGAGCAAATCTATAGGAAGCTAAAGAAAGAAACTATCATATATTGTTAGAAAATCTAGTGAATTAAAAAAGTTGGTTGGATGTAGAAGTTGTTGAGGCTTTTGAACTTTGGTGTAATTGATCGTAGGTGACTCATCACCAGACTTGACAACACTGTCAGCTGAAGATGTGACATCTTCATCCTGAGCAGCGAGCTACATTTTAAGTCTTATTTTTATCTGCTGTACATTGAATATGTTTACAATATTCTGTAGATTTCCTTATAAAACTAAGCTCTGGTTACACCACAAAAACGTAATTCTAAAGGGAAGTCTATCACTATGGTAATGTGTTAAAAACCACTAAAACAATCAGAAAAATGAATAACATAAGTTTTGGGTTGTCATAGCAATTGTTCTCAGCCGTGAAAATCTCTGAAATGCAGACTGTCTTGTTGTTAAACTTAAGCGTAGTATCAACTGTGTGCGACATGCACGACCACAGTTAGTTCACTTTCCCAACGTTTAAAGGGTAGTGAGTTTGTTCTGCATCAACTGTCTGCGTCACTGATACAGTCATGGTTATCGTTCCCCCACTCACCCTAAAGTTTTTGATGAAGGTTCTGTTGATGCATATTGGCCTAATTTATTTCCTTTTTTCAACAATATAGTTTCGTTTGGAAAAGACGATTGATTAGAAGCTTACAATCTATGTGCAGTTCCTTAGAAAGCTTAGCAAGAATACAATATAGACACCTAAGGGGTCACCACTGTCAGATTTAAATATTGAAGGGGTACTGTAGACCCCTTGGTCAACTACCATTCAGATTATCTATCCCAATATTTGAATTTAGCAGGCCAATAGTGCAAAGAAGATTGATCAACTTTCCAACCAAATACCAGCAACAGTCGTATTTAGAAAAAACTAAGGAGTAAACTAATGACATTTCTTTTTCAGATGGGTCTGTCTCCAGAACTCCTGAAGAGACCTTGCTCGAAGCAACAAAATGAAGACAGATAAAAGCGAACTATTAAGGCATTTGTAGGTCGGTAATTCTATGCTAGAATGCTCAACAGACAAGCGAGAGGTTCGGTTTCCGGCAGACACTCGCTTAGTTTACTAGCAGGTGATAAGTCCTGAAAAGAGGGGAAGTTGGGCACGAGGCCAGCAACTCCATCCCGTAAAAACAGTACCCCCGCTACTGAGACCTAGATGCCTGAAGCTCTATGTTACACCCAGAATGGGAGGAATGGAAAAAATGACCAAAGCATTTATCCCCAAGCTAGTGAACATTGTATGCAAGTACAGCTTTCAACCTTTAACATACAGGGCATCAGATAGACTTTATGGAGATTCAAAGAAACATTGTACAACTAAACAGGTACCTATGAGGATTCAAGATAATTTGTCAGTCTGGATCAGCAAAAGAGAAATTAAATTCATAAAAATTCAATTTTACCACCCAGAATCGCCCATATAGCATGTAGTGTTATGTACCGCGTACCCAAGAGACTGTCGTGTATAGTTCGCCTGCACCGTTTACAAACAACTCAATCTGTAGCAACAAGAACGATCAAGCAAGAACCCTGTATTCAGAAGGAATACCTTCACGTTGTTTCTCCCGTGACCATCTTTGGACAAAATACTATCCTCATAATCAAAGGTTTCTTTCTCCTTGCCCTATTCTCTCTTCTAAACAACTTTAATCACAATGCTCTATAATTTCCACCCTTCATACAAGTAACCTTTAAACATTTTCTATGCATATAGACATATACAAGCCATTCTGACTTATTATTAGTGGTATTATTTCTTTTCCATATATACGACTTCACCTTATTCATTTCACGTGTTGATTATTTCATGATGAACTGTTCACTGTTATCTTACTGTTTTCTATCCAATGCATATTATGTTTGTATTAGCAACCCAGTAAATATATTCTACAACCTTGAATAAACTCATCGATTTTCATACTGTATAGATTTATTGTGATTAATCATCAACTTGCCTAGTTTACTAGCCGGTCCTAGGCTCTTTAGAAAATCTTCATCGCTATGGAAACTTCAGTACACAGAAAAAGAATGAACTTATTTTTTAAACAAGATATTTAGAAGACAAGTATTGTGAGAGGATATCATTTCGCAGTCTCCCTACCATCGTGGTACAACTAGCAGGGTTGAAAATATTAAAGTGTTTTACCGTTCACCAGTTATATGAAATAAAAGTGCGTATTAATAAACAATACTATTTTAATAAGTTAAGTAATATGTAGTAGGCAAAGTTCGAAATCTATTGTTTTTTAAACACATAGTTTGCTATGCATGTGGTTAGTCCAAAGTGCTTTCATCACGTTTAATAACTTCGAACTAAAATTAGGTGAAATAATTGAGAAACAACCATTATTGCTAAATTTGTGACGAGATATTAATAAATGTTTATTTTATTATAGCTTGATTCCACACAGTATTTTGGTACAAGTATGGAATTTTCAGCATGTGATATCGGTAGCCCAACTTTAACAGGTCGACCATTGATATCAGGTGTGTGTCGGCAGCTGATCGAACCTCGGACCATGTGTATCGTAGATTTCAATTCAGACCGAACGAATTTGGATTTTCTTTGAGACTTAATAACCACTTAGGGACAGGTTCTTCTAAACGAAATTGGACCTACATATGTGTTCTTCAGATTGTAGATGAACTTATAGATACAGTGTGAAGTAGAATCCATAGAATTTCATCCTTTAATCATTGATAGAGGAAGTGAAAATGTTCGAGAGGTAGGGAAAACGGGTAAAGAGCAGACTGGAAAGCTGACCAAAACCTTCAAGCTTTCATCTGCATGATTTGACTACTCTTTAATGTCGGGTAAATATGCGGAGAAGGACGTATACACACAACTGCAGGCAGTAATGGACGAGATCCCAGATAGCAACATAAAGATGTTAATGAGAACACATCATGGGTTGAGAAGTCGACGGTGACATGAATGAGAACGAAGAACCGTGGGGAGGTGGATGTATATGCTGGATGCATAAGAAAACCCAAGAAAATTTGGATTTCGGGAATGATTTATGTTTCATGGAACACAAACTAAAAGATTTACAAGCAAAACCCAGCAGCTTGACACAAGAGCCACGATTTCAGGTGAACATGAAGACAATCAAACAACAACATCAGTAAGCACCATCAACGGGAGGAATATCAAGGAAGTCACTTCTTTCACTTAACTAGACACCATCGTTTTAAATACAGACGGCTCTGATGGAGAATTTTAAGCTAGCCAAGGTGAGAACATGTGCCCACCACCATGAAACTGGTATGGAGAACTACTGCACTCAGCACAATAAACAAGATTTGAGATTTAACACTAATGTCAAACCAGTGCTTCTATATGACTCAGAGATTTAACGCAAATGTCAAGTACAAAAGAATGCACATTCCTATCAAAATATGCCTTCTTCAGATATTATAGATCAGGTGGCTGGCCAGAAAGGATTAGCGAAGTGTTGCAGCCAACAATCCGGGAATCTACTATCCAACGAATATGCAGAACGAAATCAACATAGACGGACGTATAGTGGGAGACGTCAGAGTGGCATCATAGGCTTGGCCCTTAAGTGGGACGTTGAAGGAGGACATGGGGAAGAAGAAATGACAGTTTGTCAGAAGCTGTGGAACCAGCGGTAACTGATGTCGGAGAAGTGGGTGTAGTTATGGAATTGTTCTGATGAAACTCTGTTTTCCATTCAGAAATTCAAAAGATTATAATTACTCATAATGACTTTCATACACGCCATTCCTTCGAAACTCCATTGCGCTTATCACATGTGCAGTACAAATTATATTTTTCTTGCCATTTGACAACTTGAAGTTCTTTTGATTTTTAGTCTATAATCCTTTTGACTGGACACCAGTTAGTAACTAGTGTGATGCGTCTAGTCCTTTCTTTAATGCAGACTGAATTCTATCAGACAAGTTTGTAATGTGGCCACCATTCTAGGTGACTCACCATCACAGTGCACCTTCAATTGTTGACATTAGATGGTTGAAGACAGCAGCAACATTAGGTGACATGGGTTAGAATCTCAGAAAGCACATTATTTCCTTCAAGTGGCAGGTACGCCTTGCTGACAGACTGGTGAGCGCCAACTAGCATGAAACCTAGGCCCAAGGCTTCCCGGCGACTATCTCCAACCATTTATAGTCATATTCTACGTTAAAATGTACCCGCAGCTATTATTAGTATTATTATCATCATCGTGTTAACTATAACTGTAAAAACCCAAAGCGAATTTATTGAAAAGAATACTTTTTGTTCAGACTGAATTTTAATTCATTATATATTTGCAGTTTGACAAAATATCCTGTGCATTATTGGACTGTCATTATACAACAGTTAAATAGTTAATCTGTGCAGATATACATATCATATACTTGATTTTTTATGTTGATGAAAACACAGTCAAATAGGAGGAGGTTTTTTCCATCCTCACACCTACCATGAAGAATGTGAATTCGTAGATAAATTTAATAATCAGTAGGTAAACACTATTTTTTATGTACACTTCAAATTTCTGACCTTTAGCAGTCAATAAGCCATGTAAAGGCATGTAAAAAATAAAGATAACAATAATAAACACCAAATAATAAAAGCGAATCGATTTACAAGAAAATTTAGGAAGAGTTAGATAAAGAGAGGATAACTCATGATAGATATATATAACTCATGATACATATATATAAGAAATATTCGAATTAAATTATACAAAAAGGAAAGGAAATTAAAATGATGAAAGAAAATTATCATTATTATTGTTATTATTGTACATCTTTGGCGGTTTGGTTTTAGCGTTATGATAGGCAACTGTATACACATTTCGGTAAATAAAATACAAAGCGTACCAAAAAAAAAAGAAAAAAACAACAAAGCAGTGCACTTTTTGGTATTCGCGATGGTCACCTAAATAAGAAGGAAATAATGATGACTATAGGATGCAATAAAAAGTTGGGGAGCGGGGAGTGATTGACTTAGCAAAGGGGCTACCAGCAGTATATTTAAGAGCCCCATCGTAATTTTCTTCCAACACAGCCATCTTTCCACCATTTGGATACATCTGAATACCATGATGGACCAATAAGATGAGCAGTATGCGCAAGAAGACACATATCACACTGGGGTTGTGCAATCCAGTTTTGTATTACACCATGACCATGCCAAGCAAAGTATTCATTGTATGCCGTATCATTCCTGTTTAAGTAGTACAGATACTCGGCAAGTTTTGCAGGTGACTCGAATTCATCCACATGAATAAAGGAGTACGGAGGAGCGATCATTTTGTATTCTTCAATTGAAGCCCCCATAACAATAGGAATCACATCGTTACTTTAGAAATGAGAAAAGAATCGATTAAAACACTATAAAGAGTAAAACAAAGTAGTAATTCTTTAGTCATCTCAACATTTTAAACAAAACCTTTAATTACTTCCCTAAAGAATAAAGTTGAATAGTCGATTTTAAAACACGCATATCTTACATAGCCAATCGTTTTTTTTCTTTTAAAGTAAACAAAGATCAATACTGTTTACAGCATTATTCCAAGGACTTTACACTGAGAATATGAATTCTCCAGGGTAGGGGGGTTAGTCGTCACGTCATACGACGTCAAATAACTCTGATAAAAATTGTTAGGCAGATAATTCACAAGCAGAAGAAATAAGAAGTCATATGATAACCTAAGAAAGAATGATCACGAAGCTCTTAGAACTATTGATTAACTTTTCAACTTACATAATTTTAAAAGGCCCTGTTTACTTTCCCATATCAAGGCCAGATTTATACAAAAAGTCGAAAGAGACAGGCACCAACTGATTAAATAATTTCGCCAGGAACGCGCTCTAAGGTGTACAATGAGTAATTCATCATTGATACAGTCACAGAGGAAAAATGAAGTGAGAGTAACGATATTAGTAACACCAAAAGGATAACTAAAATAAAAGAAAACTAACGACGCCTTTTTAGGCATAAATAAAAACCACAAGAGTTGAGGCAAATGAAAGAGATAAAAGGTCAAAGTATATGATAAACACAGTCTAACTAGGAGATAAAAGAGTGACGTTCATTCCTTAAAAACCTTATCTACTGCAAAAGACACAGTCCTGACTATCTTAACACTTCTCCCCAGACTAAGAAACTAATACGCTGGGACAGCTGCCACATGAGGAATAAAAACTTCTTCCATAATTACTTTATGAAAGAAGAAATTAGTGAATCTACCTAACATAAATCATACATCTTACTATGACCTGAAGAAACAATCGTCTCAGATAGTTTAGATTTCCTGAATAATCTGGCTGACTGACTGGTTGCAGCATAGAACTTTGCACCGATATGCAGTAGTTCAAGTCGCCACACTTCACTTACCACACAAAGCAAGAGGAGAAAGTAAAAAGAAATGCAAAACAGAAACAGTAAACAGAGATATAAGGCAAAAGGAATAGTAATATCGAAGAACCATATAGTTTTTTTTAGGTTTTTACCGTCCCGAGGATACCAACCACGAAGTCTACATCTCCCGACGTGACTGGCTGAAACTAACTGTTGTGCATTTTCATTGACTGATGAAGCCATGTTTTGGTTTGACCACCCACTAGCTAACTCTTTTCCAACCTCATCCATCCAATTTCAGCTAACATTGCCTGTCGAGAAATAATAACTGCACATGACTGCCACAAACACAAACCGGTGTCTAAGCAGCTGAAAGGAATTTTAAGAACTGCACCGCACCACTTATATTTCACAGGATGGCATTAAAGTCTGTTATTTTATGAACACACTGAACTAGTCATTTAATAAGCCAACTAAAAGTAGTCATACAATCAGGAAAATTACGAAAAATGTCTAAATCTTATTATTATTCAAAGTACGCTTCAAAGTCTTTAGCATCCCCCTCTTAACAATGCTGCGTACACTTTGATTGGACACTAGTAACTAGTGTGACGTGTCTAGTCCTTTCTTTGGTGCAGACTGAATTCTATCAGTCAGGTTGGCAATGTGGCCACCATTCTAGATAGCTCACCATCACGCTGCACATTGCTTTGATGATATTAGATGGTTGGAGACAATCGGCAGGAAGCTTTGGACCTAGGTTTCATGCTAGTTGGCACTCACCAGTCAGCAAGGTGTACCTGCAGCCTTGAAGGAACTCATGTCCCTTCCGAGATTCGAAACCGCGTCACCCAGTGCTGCAGTCAGAGACGTTACCACTAAGCTAATCGGGCTCGCCTATTGCCTCCAACCACCTAGTATCATCAAATCATTGTGCACCGTGATGACAAACCACCTAGAATGGTGGCCACATTGCAAACCTAGCGGATAGAACTCATTGGTTACAGGAGTTTATCATAAGCTGACATTGGTTAGAGAACCATTGGAAAACCTCGGAGTACTGGACAGCTGTTTCGTCCTAGTTTGTGACTCTTCAACAGTACGCACCCATCGGGATTCGAACCCAGGACCTTCTGGTTACAAGGCGAACTCGCATACCATTAAGCCACTGGCACCCATGAATCCTAACTTCTGCCAATTCACGATATAGCGCAACCGCTAACCAATGTCTTCGGCAAGTATTTGTCCTCATACCCGACCTGCTGCACCCTACTGGTCAAGACTTTTGAAGAGACATGAGTTCCTTCAAGGTTGCAGGTACGCCTTGCTGCCTAGTGAGTACCAACTAGCACGAAACCTAGGTCCAAGGCTTCCTGCTGATTGCTTACAAGCATCTAATATCATCAAGGCTGTACAGTTTATGTAGTTATCGTTATACAGGGATAAACATTTCACAATTCTCTTATTTTGTATTCAGAACTTAAAAGAAGTAATGGAAAAAGGATATGACAAAAACAGCGGAAGTATTCTATGATCATTATTACAGTGAATGGTAGTGGTGCTTGTAGTACTTTTTTCTTTTCAAGTACTACTGAAAATCACATCTAGGCTAAGGCTGAAAATCCCGACAAAGTAAAAGTAACAAACATTGCACAGGATAGATTGAATTCATTTTATTTCGTCTACTGTAAATCTACCACATATGTATTAAGTTCAAATTTTGTGCACTGTTTGACAGTAAATAACTCAGCCTTTTTATGTCTACATACAAAAACAACACAGTTCATCATGGATGAATAAAGTCAATCAATATACGGATTAGGTACAAGTTGTTGTTTATAACAATGATAATTCACAATGAAAATTCAATATATGTCGTCCCTAAGAATGATGTCGTCATCAAATTACCTTACAATAAGGAAATAAAGGTTAGTTGGTTGGTTGGTTATCAAGGCAGATTCAACTAGTTCATGCGTAGAACCTAATATGCAGTCCGGTTTAGAATTACTATATATATATATATATATATATATATATATATATATATATATATATATATATATATATATGTATATATATATATATATACACTCTACTGCAGGCCTCAAAAGTGTACAAGTGATTATGTCACATCCCATACTACATAACAAATTACGTATGTGTGTGTGTGGTCACACAAACATAAGTAGGAGTAATCGTACTTTCCATGTGAGGGTGGGAGAACATATACCTAAATGGTTAGAAAAACAAATGAACTGTAAAAAAATCAATACATGCAGGCAGTAGACTACCAATTTTGTCTACAGATAAACACTTAAGCGATATGAATTACAAGATTATTTATAAAATGACATTCAGGGGAGCTTATTGAAAAACAAAAAAAGCTATTCGTGAACTTAAGCTTCCTCCCCCACCCCCACCCTTGTGCGTACAAAATCAATTTTTTATTACTCTTAACCAATATTAGTAATCCTTATCTGATTAGTGTTAATCATTACCCTTCTTATTCTTAAATTATTCGCCATTTTTTTCAATTTTAATTGGCCTCTTATTTTTCAAATAAACTGATTTGACAAATAAATGTGTGAGGGATCAGATTGTTCGAAATGTATTGCACAAATACATCGTATCTTTCAAATAATCTCTCATCTTCTAATAACACTAATAAAATTTATAAAAAGGGACTGACTGTTTTAAGTCAAATAATAATAGACATAACAGACATTAGTGGGAGGTATGATAAGAGTTCAAGGCGTTAACACAAATTTGATATAGAAATGGGCAACAAACATATGACAGAGATAATGTGATAGGAGAATTGAAAAATAACATAACAGTAGAGGACATACTAAGAAAAAGATTACAATATATATATAATAGAAGAGATAATGGAAGACATGAGCAAGAACAGAACAAATTACGCATAAGTTAGGTTTGAATCGTCGGATTGTTGCTGATTTTACGAATCACAGAGATCTAAAACTAATCTGTCCAATTACCATCTGAAAAGCTATATTAGGATGTACGACACAACTCGTATCAAGCATTACCTACCGAAATCACACTGCTAGGCAGTCTTGCACACCGCCACAAATTTTGAACTTATTGCATGTGCAGGAAATTCACAGCACACTGAATAAAACAAATTTAATTCATCTCATAATGCTTGTTTTTGCTTGCTTTAAACAAAAAAAATTTATACTAGGGAACATAACTAACTGTATGAAATGAGATTATCTCAATTTCTACATTGGTAAAATTGTTAGAGAATGAAAAAACAAAAACACGCTGTCAGGCATATCGAGTGGATAACCAAATTAAATTTTCTGTCAACTTACGTCAAAGCATTCTTGAAGAATTTCTCAGTTACATAATCTTTACATAAACTATTTTCAAAACTGAGATAGAATTTATAGTCTTTACGAAGTAATTCAAAGCATTCACTCTCTGATGATCTTGGGCATTCTTTAAATCCACACCGACCGTATATATCAATCTACAAAACACAGAAATAAAAATCATAATGGCAATGTATGAGCAAGGTGCTGACTACAGACCTACTGAATACAAATTCTAACGATATGAAGACTACAAAGTGATTTTGATGAAATTTTCAGTATATATATATATATATACGAGAGAGAGAGTGAAATGGACAGGCAAAGACATCTAGTTATAAACAAAAGAAGGCGTCACAGAAGAGAATTTTCTTTTCACAGTGCTACACAGAGTCCACAGTATCTTAAGAAGGGATTTAGAATATATCATTTATGCATGGTGGAAACACTAGCTATTGAGGACTTCAAACCTGATCTCTGCATCTGAAGACATTACATACACTCACTTGCCTTACCGTGGCCAGAGTAACATTCTTACCGTAATTTTGTTTCAGTTTATAGTTATTATTTTATAATTTTCACTATTATTATTATTGTTATTATCATTATTACTATTATTTATTGATAACATAGCACTTCTTATACATATTTCATATAAACATTTTACCGTATTTCCACTAGTTGTTGTCCATTTTATACGTTTAGACTGTTTAGTCATTTCCACGCTCACTAAGTAATTCCTACTACTGTCTTTATTCTAATCTCTGCCTAGTCATTCCCTTCTAGATTCCAACTCACACTATGTATTGAGTTTTCTAGAAAATAATTACCAGTATCTGGTTGGTGTTATGAATTCTCTGTTAAACATAAATACGACCGTATTTTTATTATTATTATCTTATTCCTTTACGTTCACAGTGGAACGTAGAGCTTCGAGCTAGGGTTTGAAGTTTCGGCAGCAGTGGTATTTATTTTTAGGGGATGGGGTTGCTAGCCCTAAGCCCAACCTTCCCTCTTTACCAGTCTTATTACTGGCTTAGCGAGGTAAAGGATTGTACAGCTGTTAAAATAAGTTCGTCGAAAGGCACATTTTCTTCACTGCTACGCCGACTTTTATTTATGACTAACTATGAGAATTTCGCGTTCATAAAAGCCTCGGAGTTATGTCATAGTACCACCTTCGGGTTATTATATCTTCAAAATTGCTGGTTGATTTTTCCCATCTGTGTTAAGTCCGTGTATATGAGAAGCAAAAATTATTTTACACAGCAACATTACCGAATGCTTTACGTGTTGCCATTTTATTTGGAGCGATTGTGAAACTGAAATCAGTGATAAACAAGGTAGCATACTGACATAACTAGAAAAAACAACAACACGATATCTGACTGAAAGCTGTTTGCTGCAGTAAAAGAAGACAAACCGAATTCGCTTAACTTAATTTTGTATTTTCCGTTGATTAATGATATTTGACTGCAGTGTTGACATTTTAGCTCCTAGTACGAACACTTCGACGATGCCCAAGGATTAACTTGGTGGCCCAAGTGGTCCAGCAGATAAAGCTTTGGTGTTTGAAACAACGGGTTCTGGATTACAGATTCAGTAGAAAAACCATAACCCACTGGGGATTTCAAGTACATCCAACTGACGAGTCCCAAACAGGACGAAAAGCACATCCTAGATATTCCACTGATAAGTCATTATCCACCACATAACGAGATAAAATGAAAACTTTTTTTACACAAACATTAATCCTGCCACCAAGCAGTGTAAGCTATTCAGCCTAAAGGGGAACGACACAGGAAGTAGGATTGAAGTGTTATGCAAATGTTGACTACGAAATAATGACAGCAAACAATTAAAACATCTCTCAGTATACATTTCAGGAGTATTAGACTGGCAATTTAGCACAGCTAATATTGAAAGTAAGTCCAGAACCTTGTTAAGGGCAGTGACTTCAGTTAAAAACAGCATACATGTGTAAAGTTCAGTCAACTATTTGCTATCTTGACACCTCTGAAGTAAACACACTAAGTAGTGCATTTCAAAGGAACAGGAGAATAAGTATCATTCTTAGTGATTAATTCAGTTCAGGTTGAAATAGATATCTACCTCACGAGGGAGGACAACGACGTCAGTAATACAGTCATCCTTGATTAGTATACTCATAAACTCCACAGGAGGTATGACATTATTGTATACAACAAGATAAAGTAAAATTTGCAAACCTCACTTCTGTTATTACAAGATCTAAGGAAGTGCACTCGGGTTGATCTTAAGCACTAAGCACATCTATCAAAGTCAGTCCACCTGACTCTTTTAGCTAACCCGGTTTTTATGAGTAATGGTAGTGAATGATATTCAATAAATATCACAATGCAGTTCAATTTAACAGTCTAAGAATTTCGTCCTTGGTCCCTCCCTCTCTACGCAGTAAGATAATTCCTAGAAGCATGATATTTAAACAAGACAGACGTATACAGATGTGTTCAATCTACAGTGTACTTAAAAAGAAGAAGTCAAGTTCAACCAGCTGAAAATTCAACAAAAAGCATCATAAATGTGAGACGACAATACAACAAATTTACACGAAAGCAAAGAATCTATCCTCATTTGATCCAATCGAATTTAAGATCAAATGATAAATGATGAACTTTTTTATCTCAATTACAATTAGATAAGGTGAAGATGATAAAAGTGTGGTAATACAAATATTCATACAACTTGTAGATGTACTTTGCTTTATATTGAAGTATTATTGAGTATTTCACTAAACTTGCTAGTGAGACTTTCATGATCAGAATTCGAAGCTCAGTATTTATTGAACGAAAATAACTGCGAACGCATACAGAAAATTTGATCACATCCAAAAACATAGAAGACTGGAAACTTGGAAGTGCTCGTAGTCAGTGAAGAGACAACTTTGGAGGGATAACAAGAAAGAAAACACACATCCTGGGAGAGCAGTAGTTTACCTCATTGGGGATACTGCTAACAATTATTCAACACACACAAAAATATATACCTGATTTATTTAACAGGTACTCACTCAACAGAGTAAGATACGATATCAATAGCTAAAATAGATTTTGGATTGTTAAATACTATTCCGAAAAAACCAACGTTTAAACCGAAAAAAAATTATCAAATTAATAGGCTTACACTAATATAGTTTGATAATTCAGTAGCATATTGATTTCTAGGACTTTTAGCATTACAATTACTAACAAACCATGCAGCCATTTTTGTTTTGCCTTCAGCATAATTCCGACTTGGAAGTGGATATCTTCGAGATGGATTATAATCTGCTAGTGATGCGGGTTTATATGCACCATAAGATGAATAGATGGTTGAATCAAGCCGATAGGTTACAGTGAAATTCACCTAATGACAATAACAATATGGAAGATATTATTACCACCAGTCAAATCAGAGGATAATAAATAATGTTAAAATGTATTTCAATGCACATTATAACAAGCTACTTATTTTTACTTTTAGAAAAACAACATCTTATTTCCCATCTGATTGTATTTTATTAATAACAATATTATTTCTGAAAGTACTTTATCTTATATTGATTTTATTCAAATGTCTAATCAGTTTTACTCATAGTATATAAATGAAGCAAATAGTTATGTGAGTGACTTGATATGATTATGAGCAATAAATCGTGCTCAAAACGTGGTCGTCAGTAAATATTACTGTAAGACACTGAGTGATTTATCAAAATAAAACTTTATTTTTGATTGAACACTAGTCAGTAACTAGTGTAATGTTTCTAGTCCTATCTTCGGTGCAGACTGAATTCTATCAGTCATGTTTGCAATGTGGCCACCATGCTAGGTGGCTCGCCATTACGGTGCACTGTGAGTTGTTGGTATTAGATGGTTGGAGACAATCGGCAGGAAGCCTTCGACCTAGGTTTCGTGCTAGTTGGCACTCATCAGCACGGTGTATCTGCAACCTTGAAGGAACTCATGTCCCTTCTGAGATTCGAACCCGCGTCACCCAGTGCTGCAGTCAGAGACGTTACCACTGAGCTATTCGGGCTCGCGATTGACCTTCTGTAGGACTGTAGTGGGTATTTTTGATTGCACACTAGTCAGTAACTAGTGTAATGTGTCTAGTCCTATCTTCGCTGCAGACTGAATTCTATCAGTCATGTTTGCAATATGGCCATGTGTTTGCAGTCTGCACCGAAGATAGGACTAGAAACATTACACTAGTTACTGACTAGTGTTCAATCAAAAATATCCAATAGAGTCCTACAGGAGGTCAGTCGCGAGCCTGAATAGCTCAGTGGTAACGTCTCTGACTGCAGCACTGGGTGACGCGGGTTCGAATCTCAGAAGGGACATGAGTTCCTTCAAGGTTGCAGATACGCCTTGCTGATGAGTGCCAACTAGCACGAAACCTAGGTCGAAGGCTTCCTGCCGATTGCCTCCAACCATCTAATACCATAAAACTTTATCCATATTATTATTATTACTGTATCCTTTAATTCCTAGAGGAACATAGGGCTTCAGCCGTGCGTCTCCATTGCGTTCGGTTCTCTGCTAGAGTCTTCACCTGGCTCCATGTCTGCCAACCACACGTTTTCATCTCCTCTTCACATGACCTCCTCCAAGCCACCCTTGCACTGACGACCAACTCGCCGCTTCCCTTTCGGGTTCCACTCGATCGATGGCTTGTCTAGTGATGTCACTTGATGGTTTCCTCAGAGTATGGCCAATCCATCTCCATTTCTTCCTGCCTATTTGTTTCACAATCGGTTCCTCGTTGGTTCGCTCCCAAAGATCCCTGTTGCTGATCTTGAGTATTGAGCGAAGACTATATATACATATACATTGAAGTCAATAACATCTTATCATTTTAATGTATCATTATAGCATTTTTATATTTAAAGCAGTCAAAACAAAAAGATAACTATGACTGTACAGTATCTATTGAGTGGTAGATATAAAAAGGCTAGTTGTTATTGTTCACAGATGTTTGCGTTTTATTCCCCAGAACAAGTGTGGTATATGGTGAGTAATAATAAGACTAGGCGTGGATTACTATGCAAATAAAGGAAGTCAATCGCTATGAGGTTGTGAAGCTGCATCAAAAGTGATTACAAGGTGTAAGTAGTGAATTAAGAACAATTTACAATCACACTAAACAAAATCTGCTTATCAAAATAAGAATAGTAAAAGTGATTAAGCCTATAGAACCATTTTATTAATCACAAAAATATCATCTGGAAAAGTATGAGGTTACTCAAACATTGGAAGGGAAATAGACATACTACCTATGAATAAAAAACTAAAACGAAACTCTATCATTTCTATATGCACCACCTCTTATCTAATGAGATGCTGCGTGTACATTAGATATGATTAGGTATCAATTCACAACAGATGTCTTATAGTCTGTTTTGCCTACAGTGTTATCACGCCGTATAATGTCTCCATGTTGACTTCCTCACATACTGTTTAAGCAGTCTAAAAAAAAGAAGAACGGTGACATTATTTGACAGTAACAGAATAAGTCTGCTAAAACTTATTGGAAAAAAATCTTGTAAACTCCGTGATTCGCTTATTCCTATTTTAACAACAAAACAAACGGTGTTTGATTGCCCTGTCCAGCCAACTTATGAAGTTCTTCCTGGGCCTATACTATGTTATTTTAAAGGACCGCAAGTTATGGATGTTGAAATTGTTCATGTAGTGATCGATTTTCAGAACATCCGATCATTTTTATCATTTAGTTAACAAACTATATCATAAATACAAATCTGCTTACTGATTAAGCAAAGCTCTTAGATGATGAGCATGATATCATTTTAAAACAACTATTTAGGAAAACATGACTGATATGTAAGGCGATTTTTTCCCCGCTTATTTAAGAAGTATCATAAAGTTGGATCAAGTACAAGATGAATGATAAATTAGATAAGATAGAGATTTTATATGCAGTCTTAAGGGGATACACCTTTATGAACTCGCTTTCTGTCTACCGTCAATATAGATATAAGAGAAACGTGTTACCATAAGCGAAAGAAACGCAGTCTCACATCTGTTAGTAAGAATTCATTCAAATAATTATTCACTGTACAACAAGTAATGTAATCAATTCAGGTTACAATAGGTGCTTTAAAAACACTATACTCCCGATACATTCAAATGATGACTGTAAACAGTTACTGGCATAAATGGGAGTGATGGCTTACAACTATACCTATTTGAAGCGTTAAAGGTGTAGAACTAATTCTACTCAAAACCTGCACAGTTTTAGGCGACACCACAAATGTTTTCCTCCAAATTCCAAAAAATAAGGCCACACCAAATAGAAAAGTTGAAATACATGAAGTTTTAAATCATGAAAGAAGTAGCTGTAATATTCTGGCGAATCCCAGCGCATGCATACAGTCCGTTAAATTAAATTTTTCCACGTAATCAAAGAGTAGAAGAACCAAGAAATGTTAAAAGAATCGTAAGTGAATAAACTGCACCAAACGGATTTTTTATCACAGAGTCATCGGTATTGCAAGCGCCATGAAACTCAAGTAATTCACAGGAGTCTTAGATTAAAGAATATGACAAACAAATGAGCCACACAGATCGATACACAGCCTTGCACAGAAACAAATCGTTTACCGGTTTGAGAAGCATGAAAAATACAGAAATGACTGAGAATTTCAAAATGACAAAGAGTAAATTTATCCTGTGCTATTTTGAACAACTTCAAGTAATATCATTAAGAGTCCCAAACGAGATATTTTTGAGAAACAATAACCAGCCAGTCAGAGACGTCAATGGATTGATTACTGATCTGACCACTCCCAATGCCGTTGAATAAATTGGGCTTAAAATCACTCAAAGAAAATTGTCGTTCAATACGAGCTAAAGCTGAAGTGGGATAATTACAACTTACTTTGTCTCCTAGCCCTTCCACGATATTTAAGTGAAGTGGAGACTCATGTACTAATATCATCCATATTTGATCTGAAGGCCGATCAGCTAACGGATAAGTCTCATCAGTAATGATGATTACATCTGCTTCACGCCAGTCTGTTTTATTGTATATCATTTTACACATTGATGCATAGCAACCAGAAAAATCCATAGAAACTGCTGGCTGGTGATCACCATACACGAGGAACTTCTTGATCTATTAAAGTTTAGAAAAAAGTAATTATTAAACCAAGAATACGTACATATATATGTATATATATATATATGTATACGTATATATACCATATACTCAAGAATGTATAGGTCTAAAAATTCCGCTTTTCAAAGTATACTGCAATGTTTCACACGCAAGAATACAAGGTAAAGGGTTAAAATGACTAGATTCTTATCCGTAAACATTGATGCCAATGTAAGTAAACCAAAAGAGTCGATATGTTTGTTAAGTGTTGGAAAATACACGTCTTTTTAGGCAAACTAGACTAGAAAACCATACTAACAAGGCAAAAGTAGACCTTGAATCAGCCTAATACAGAAAATATTCAAGCAAGCGCAAGCTAAAATCAATTTTCTGTAGTAGTATTATTTAGATGGGATCCTCCTATTATGAAGTGTCTTAAGTTATACAATGTACTGTTGAGATAAAATCTTTTTTAGCGAACCAAATATTCACTACATGAATGGAATTCATGCTTGAAGATTGCAGTCTTTTTGAATCAACTTGATATGATTATGAGCAATAGTTTGTGCTCGAAACGCCATCAGTTAATATAACTGTACAACACTGTGTGATTTATCAAAATAAAATCTTATCTATAATGGAGTTATACTCTACCATAGTGCCCAAGTTTTATACTTATATTAGTCTTTTTGAATTTTTGTTTGTTCCAATTTCTCTACAGTGAAAACTAGATAACTATAGATATAATAGATAAGACGACAATATAACTCTGCATAGACGTCTACTGGTTAAAACTGCAACACTTCAAGAGGTCTACAAAAAAACAGAAGTGGAATAACACTGTGACAACCACATATGGATCCAATGAATAAAACAATTTAATGAAGATTTACAGGGCCTAGAAGATGACAGGAGATGAATATGCCTGTTCCGTTGTGAACTATTTTAAGTTGCAACATTATGAGTCGCCAACTAATGAGTTTTAGCACCCCGTAGCACTTGAGTCATACAAGTCACAACACTACATCTCAGCATACTTGTCTTGCACTTTCTTTCAACATAAACCAAATTTTGTTAAAAAAAAAAAGAACGTGTCGAAATAGCGAATAGGAACATTTTAACCACCAAACGCTAATGTAGCAATGGAATTGTGCTGCATCTGTGTGGACAGTTAACAGCTTTTGTAAATTCCACGTATCTATTATTACTGCTATTAACCAGAATAATACATGTTTATTTCGCGGATTTTATTGCTTTTTAAGTAAAAACCGGTTAGAAGTGATCTGAACATTTTTAATTTATTTGATAACACAATACTGGAAATAATGAAATTCCTGTGGATTACCGAACCACTTGTTACTGTCCGCAATTTCAAGTTACCTACATCTACATGTTCGTCAATACTTCCGGAAGTTTTAGGTATTGCTAATCAATGATTCCTGTCAATGTTCACGATCGATGAGTAGACGCCTACAACCTGTTCGCTACACACACAAGCATACAGCTAGTCGACCTACATTTCTCTGCTGTCGTTAATTTGTATTAGGCTTCAGGTAAACATATGTTCATCTCAGAACTTTTTATAAGATTACTGATAGTCTTGAAATTGTATGACAGAAGACTGGAATGTATAGGACAAAACTAAGAGTAACTTCTAAATCTCCAACTTTTAAACATCTTTCAGGTAACGATTTTTCAAATCAATCTATGACAAAAATACCTATAGTTTATAAGAGAGTAAAATGATTAGGAATGTTGGCTACTTTACCCATTTGGGAAGTTCCATCAGCCCTGATCAACTAAATGATGACTAATTCCCAGAACACATAAAGAGTAAATTTAACGACTGCTAAATAATGTCATCTTTGCTGCAGGCGTGCTATCCGCCAACCAACGTGTAAACGGTGCATAAGTTTGCTTAGTTCTTGCCATTGATAGTGGTTGTTATTGCTTGGCTATCTTTATCATTTGTGTCTTTTCTATAGCCACTCGCAGTTCCGTATTCGCTGCATCCTGAAATAACTTTTTGGTCTTCACTTGTGCATCTTAAAGTTTATTCAAGTAACATGAAATGATTTCTTTCACATTACTGTCATAAGTAAACCAGATGAGATACCGAGTATTGGATAATAATGGCTCACATTCTTGCCTTTAGGGATTCATGATAAAAACACCCCTGACAGACTGCTTTCAACGTAGAACTCTGCACAGATGTGCAGCAGTTCGATTCGCCACACTCCCTCTATGTACCACACAAAGCATGAGAAGAGAGAGATTCAAAACAGAGATAATAAACATAAATATGAGGCAAAAAGAATAGTAATATCCAAGATCCATACAGTTTTATTGGATATCATAAACCACAAAGAATGAATGCGTCCAAACTGTGCATTGAGAACGATTTTGAGCCATATCACTAGTTGTCTCCAGCCGCTCGTTTCTGCCGCCCCGAGGACCCCAACCACGAAGTCTACACCTTCCTAAGTCGGTCGGTTTTCGACATAGAACTTTGCACATATGTGCGGCAGTTCGAGTCGCCGCACTCCATGTAGCACACAAAGCAAGAGAAGAAAGTAGGAGAAATGCATAATATAGACAGTAAACAGAGGTGTGAGACAAAGATATAGTAATAACGAAGAACAAGACAGTTTCATTGGAAATCATAAGTCACAAGGAGTGGATGCATTTGCGGCACTGAGAACGATTTTGAGCCATGTCACCAATTGTTTCCAACCATTGGTTTTAACCGTCCCGAGGACCCCAACCAGGAAGTCTACACCTTCCTACGTGGCTTAGACTAACTGTTGTGGATCTCATTGACTGGCGCCATGTTTTCGTTTGACCGCCCCTAGCTCTTTTCCAGCCTGGCCCTATATCAGCTAACATTGCCCGTCGAGGAAGGCGATGACTAGGCATACGTAGCACATGTTCTAACCATCTCAGTCGATGTAATTTCAGTCTCGTCTATTGATTTCCCCTCCTTACCTAGCACTCGACGCTTAACCTCAATATTGCTCACCTTATTATACCACTTCACGCGGGAGATAGAACGCAGACACCTATGATCAAAGACACCTAACCTTTTCATATCTCCCACTTTCAGTGGCCATATCTCAAAGTTAAAAAGGAGGACGGTGTATTCGCCTAAATAGCCTTTTGTATCCATGGTGAGATTTCGTCAGCGATCAACCAGCTACAGCTGGCTAACGCAACTTCTCAAATAAGTGAAGCGGTCAACGTGCTCTACCACTTCACTCCTGCCTATCTCTAAACTAGGAGTCAATGTAGTCCAGTTCTGTGGCATCATCTTACATTTGACAGCAGGAGCGAATTGCATGCCAAACATTTGAAGATTGCTACTCCTCAAGGTTTTTAGTAGACTCTGGATTTCATCAGCATCTTTAACTAGAAGGACTGTATCATTTGCATACTCTAAGTCAACGAGATTATTTCCTGATGGTAACAAGTCAATCCCTGAGTCTCTGAAATCAGTTAGGGTCAAGTCCATTAGTAGTACATCTATGATGAAATTTAACGGAAATGGGGACATTGGACATCCCTGAAAGACACCACTGGTTGTTATCACTTCAGATGATCACTTTCCGTAGGCTCGCACCTGGTTAACAACAGGAGTTCGAATAGAGTGAGTGCCTTGAGCAGTACGATGTATTTTCTCGGCATTCCCTTCACAACCAAACATCGCCATAGTACCTCTCGGTCGACAGAATCGAATGCCACTTCCAGGTTAACAAATATGACGATTGTTGGACGGTAAGTCTTATTCCACAATCTGTCGAAGGGTGAAGATATGATCAATACACCCTCTTCCTAGCATAAAGCCTGTCTGATTCTTTCGTGTTTGCTCCTCCCGAGCACGGCTAAGTCTAAACATGACTAATGAGCCTAGAACTTCAGATACCATATTAGTCAAGCCAATCCCCCAGTGATTATCACAGGAAGACTTGTCTCCCTTCTATATCGGAATGATCAATGAATCACACCAACCCAACGGGACTTTCACTGATTCCCAGACGTTGCCTAATACCCTATTTAACATAGACAGCAAGGGGTATCCGCCATCCTTTAACACCTCTAGAGTCATTCCATCAGGTCCCACTGCTTTGCCTCGTTTCAAACTAGTCAGACCTCCCACAACCTCAGTTAGGGACAGACAACTTGTGTTTATATTCCATTTAGGGACGTGTTGGATGCTGGGTAAGTTGAGCATGGCCAGTTAAATCGCTCCTCAAAGTGTTCCTTCCAACGTTCCAGTCGTCTATCCTAACAGCTAATTATGGTGTCATTTTTCTCAAAGATTGTTTCACTTATCATTCGCAATTTGCCACCTGTTTCCCCCATAGGTCTAAATAGTTGTCTGGTGTAACCAATCCCCAGTGCCTTCTCCAACTCTTTCGCTTTTGTCGCCCACCACTGTTCACGGTCGTTACGAAGACTTCTTGTTAGTTTGCGTTTGAGCAGCTTTCGCTCCTCGTCATATTCGGAGCCCACTAGAATCAGTCTTCTTGCCTTAATCAGTTCGAATGAAGCAGTAGAAATCGACTAAACACTACTAAATTTTGATTTCAGGTTATTAACAGCTTTTACAGCTGTGTCTACAGATAACTGTATGTTGTGCCAGCCAGGCTTCCTCAAGAGGAGTCCTCTTGTCAACCTCAGACACTCGTTTCGCTATTTCATCCTTAAGTAAAGACTCAGTGTCCTGACCAAGTTACAAGCGTAACTTCTTCGTTGCTAACAGTTTGTTGTGCCCGTTTAGTCGTAAGCATAAACGTGCGTCAATCAGGTCGTGATCACAGTCCACGCACGTGTTCCAGGAGGAGCGGAAGTCTTCTACTGACCCTCGCCAACGATACCCTATCGCTATATGGTCTATTTGAGTCCAACGCTTATTTGGTGATGGAGGTCGCCAGGTTACTCAGTGTCTCTCTGTGCCTAAAGTTAGTGCTGGCTAGGAATACATGATTATCTGAACAAAACTCTAGAATTAAAAGATTTAATAGTGTGAAATATTCCCAATGTCCAATGTTCACCCAGAAACACAAAGATGTCTCACATAACCTTAGCTCTTCTTCATGCATACTCCATTTCAATTGTTCCTTTGGTTCAAGTTATATAGGGCGCACGATTAGGCACGTTCGTCTACGTGTTCGAGAACATTTGCCAGCTTGATTCAGCAGGGGGGAAATTAAGTGCATAAAAAAGCTCGATCCTGTCACACTTGGTCGAAACTGGACATAGCATCGACGTCAACACAGCTTTCAGGGTTATATACCCAATTTCGAAGTCGTTATCACGTACAGTTCGCTTACGTCTGCTACACATAGCTGAAGCTGTTGCAATAAGATCGACTAAACCGGAACTTTGTATCCAAAAACAACACGTCCAGACACTCTTCCTACCGTGGCCAAACTTGGATCAATGATTCCCCTTCTCACCAAGAGTGCTTCCTCCCCTTAACCCGCTCGGTTTTTTCCTCTATCTTTCTGTTTATTATTACAACTACTATTATCATTCGTCATAATTTTTACTCTTCATGCAAATATTCCCTCAATACTATCGAGTTTTCCATTTATACTATCCGCACCTATTATTAGTGATATTACCTCTTTTCTTAATATATGCCTCCACCTGTTACTTCATTGTACACATTCGTTATTTCATTGAAGTCTTACTATATTCTGTTTAAAACATACCACTTTGTACTAGCCACTCACCTGACACCGTCTATAACCTTGAACTGACTTGTCAATTTTTCTACCCCACACTCTACAAATCTATTATGACTAATTACCACCATTGTTTCCCATTTTACAATATATTGTAGTCGATTTCAGCCTAGCACGTTTGTCACAAAAATACGACTATTTATTTATTTCTTTTGACACCCCATAACTAATCTGTTATTCTACGTAAAAAAATGTCTGCGTATTACTGGCCATTATTGTAACGACAACAAAAATATTTTATAATTGCAAGAACCTGAAAAGAAATCATTGAAAAGCATATTCTTCGTTTGGATTGACTTTTAAGAACTCTAGAAGACGATCACCGTCGTCGGTTAGTCGATAGGGAACTCCGTTCGTACCACATATATACTTCTCAGTTTGGCATAAACCCCACTACTTGGGCATTGAAGTCGCCTGCTAAAACAACTATATCTGAACGTTTTGCCTTTCACAACAAACTAGACAGTTTCTGGTAGAAATCATCCTTGAGCTCATACGAACTGCAGTCAGTTGGGGGTATAAGTGAAGACCATTAAGTGACAACCATGTGTAACGCCGTCCTTCCTTATTCTAACGGACCCATTCAGACGGACCGCACATACACGACTGTCTACTGGGATCCAGTCAAGGGAGTCTACCGCCCTAACACTCAGTGCTATCCCTACACCTGCGAGTCCTCGCGAACTAGCTGAGGAGTCTTCTGACACCCTTTAAGTGAATTTTACAAATTCACCTGTTGGCGGGGTGCGATTAAGTGAATAACCACACTCGGGTCTTGTATGCATGTCTCCGAAACACAACATACATACATGGTTCGACATACCGGAGTTCTCGCTAGTGATGCCTGTTGTCCGACTCGACAGAGCGTCCTGACGTTAAATACTCCAATATACAGTTAGCGGTGTAGCCTTAAGAGGCTGTCATGGATGCTTCTATGGCTCTCATCATCATTTTTGGTCACAGAATGATGTGAAGTGAAGATGACTCAGTAGCCTGCAGAATGGTACTGGCTGTAGTAGGTAAGTAAGATGATGAGAGTAACGGGCAAAAGAGGATGATGATCAGGAGGGCTTCGTGTGTCCTTGGAAGTAAGTGAATGGTTGTTACTTCCCGGCTGCCTACACCGTGGAAGTTGATTGATTCTTGAGGTACCTGAAACAGAAAGAGAGTTAGTATTGCGTTACTGCAGAGGTCAGGGGACGACTGCTTGAGGCCAGTTACACACGGCCTGTATGAACTGGTTTCTTGGATTAGTTCCGTATTAGTAAATTTACTGCCAGTTACGGATTGCCGTACGGTAAGTCGGGATGAACAATATTGGTGTCGACCTTTTCTAACCTCCTCTTTCCAGAGTGGAAAGACAGCATAGCTAGCATGCTGGCTATCTAAAAGAAACACCTTACTGCCATTACATCCTTATTCCTCAGCAGTACGACTTTGCCCACAGACTCCAAGCATATTATAAGAAACAAAAAATCTTACACTATGCTGGTAACTGCATTTAGTCTAATCGCTATCCTAAAAATCTACCTGGCATGGTAGAACCTGCAAGAACATTAGTTCCAGCCAGTTTAGCTTGTTGGGTCATTGCGATATGCAAGCCCGATCACCACGCCAATGTAGCCGCTATCGATCGAGCTCAGAGGTTAATCAGACCGAGTTATCACCAAGTTGGTGCATTTTCATGAACCTTCTGCACTTCACCTAAATAAATCATAGACAGAAACATTATATTTCTCCTTTAAATGGCTGAGTGTTATTAGAAGCAGCTTAGTCAATAGATTTAAGTTAGTGAGACTAAAGACTCAGTTGTAGCTAAAGTAAAAGTTTACCAGTAGCTGAGGACACAATTATTACACACAAAAAATTTTAAAAACTGACAATAAGGGAGAAAACTATGCAAATTTAACATAACACAGATGCAAGCATAGTACTTAAAAACAATAGCAACTGTCATCTTACATGCAAGGAATTGACGTGAACTACAATCAGATTACACCAAAGAAAGGCGTTTATAAGTAGTATATCACATGAATAAAATTCTGAGAGAGTAAAACGCAAAACTAACAAAGTCTGGGACTGAAAACTCACCTCATTTCGATTTGTTCTTGTATCATACAAATATTCATGTTTTTCTCTCTGGAGATTAAGAAGGCTAGAACATCTCCCGGTGCTAGACATAAGTTTAAGAAATTATAAAGCCCAAACCAAGAATTCATTTTAGACCCGTTGAAAAAATTTGTATCAATTGTATCTGTTGACGAAATAGCTTTGAAATTTGCTAATCCATTTCTTCCAAGAATATACAATTTATCCAAACTTAAGGACACAATTGGAGGCATCAATGCGGCATTGAAAGACCATACGACGCATGTCACTACCACTACTGCGACAACTAACCACCATCGAGCCATAACATTTGAAAAGGTAGAGTGTCCTACAAATTGTTGAATTTAAGTCGGACAAACAAATATTTGGCTGCTCGCTTCTTTACACGTGGTAAATATATATAAACCCATTGGTTCTTATCTTTTCGTCTGTTTTATTGCAATATTTACCATATATGTGCGAGCAACTTCTCTCTGTTTACAGCCCACTGCTTTGGCCCTATGTGCCTCGGTACAGAAAACTATTTCTAACATGCATTCCTTTCACATGAGATCCATACCCCTAAAATGCTTCTGAAGCCTCCAGATACATCTGTCTCGACATTGCACCTAGTTACGAAAAACTACTACAACGCGCTTTATCTGGTTTCAGTGCTACTTGCACTTTTAGTCATTTACTATTTCAAATGGCTTATCGTACTGATGATTGATGCTCTATTCCCCTTCATGCTAAAGCTGATCTTTCGAGGATAACAACAATAACGTGGTAGTAAATTAATGATGTACTGTTTGTGTTCCAAATAAAGTAAGGAAGACTGTCACTTCAGTCAGCCACCAAATGTAAATATGATATGGGACTATCCATCTCTTGATAATAGCTTCGTTAATAGCCACCTGCCTAAAAAATCGCTGCCACTGTGTTGCAATGCAGACCATATTGATTGCAATTTATGAAAGATGAGCCTGTTTGATTTATACTCTTTTCATCAATTTAGCAGCCTGTGATAAGGTAATATTACACTCCCTACTACTAAACGCTAAGTGAATGGCAATTTAGCTCAAACATGTTTGTCTCCTCTTGATTTGACAGAGTTAATCTACGGATTGTTCTGTATTATTATTCCTATGACTTCTGAGTGGAATATAGGACTTCAACAACACATCTCCACTCTGACCTACCTTATGCCATCCTCTTCAACCTGGACCACGGTTGCCCACAATCTCTTATCTCGTCCAACTTGCATGATCGCCTCCATGTCACCCTCGCACCGACAACCCACTTGTCGCTTCCTATTCGGATTCCTCCCGAAAGCCCTGGCGCGCGATGTCATTCGACGGTCTCCTCGGAGTATACTCTATCCATCTCCATTTTCCCCCACATACTTGTCGAGCGATCGGTTTTTGGTTGGCTTGTTCCCACAGTTTCTTAGTGCTTATTCTTTCTGGCCACTTGATCTTCAGTATGGAGTGAAGGATATGGGATGCACTGCCTCTACAATAACTAACTAAACGTTTATAAAACCAAGGTTATACTTTTACAGAAACCAATCCTAAGTGTGCTTACCGGTTATTCGCCATCGTGGGATTGAACATAGGTTTTCGACTGTTTTATACACTCTTTGCACGATGATTACCACTGGCTTTTGTTTCGCGTACTTCGAGGTTCGGTGTCACTTGCAATGCATTTTCTCAAGCATTCGCTTGTTAATTTTGATAAAACTTTGTTTGTATATGGTACTACACAGCGATCAGCACGTTGATGAACGTGATGACTTGAATGCGCTATAGCATGTTAATCGGAGTCATATGTAGTTCGTTACTGAACCCCACTCTCATTCGGGTAAAGTGCCACAGTGTTTTGAAAATCTCCTCTGTAGCTTAGTTAAAAACGTTTAAAGACCACATCTAAGCGGCTCTTCTTTAAATTATTTGCCAACCATGACCACATAGTCAATAATAATTACTCACAACCAAATAAGTTAAGCACTTTCGCGTATGGGTACGCACAAACCCTGTTTGACGTCAAAGTGTTTGACTGTTCTTAAGGCTCATGTCATAATCACTTTCTGACGTTTATCCTAGTACGAAATACGCTGGATGTTGACGAAACGCTCAGTATGTTGTAAGACTTATATCGTAGAATTTATAGCGAACTGAACTTTTCTACACCCTTCATCACTTTCAAGCCGATAAATCTAGAGTGTATTTTAGTCAATTTTCTCTAGGTTCACCCCATGTGAACTACATTTTCATCCTACACTTCAGTGAACAGGTGTTTCCATTTCACAAATGTCTGATTTCAAGACCTATCGGTACCGGACTGGGTTATGCCGCACGATGGGAGACATATCAAACTATATCCCTCAATTTCTAAAAATATTATTAGTCGTATGATTCTGATTGTTTTGATTAATTTAATCAGTGTAAGAGAGGCTAAATTCACCGTGCGCCGACTTACATGTCACATGTATATCACGGCCTCAATAACGTATTGATGATTATAAGATATTATGGAACTGAATATATCATGTTCACGGCAGCCAGACATTTGTATTTCCCAACGCATGAAAAAGGATTCAGATATGTCGTTCCAGTGATATCTAGCTGTTCAGCGCAGGTTATAACTGTACCAAGCTGAAATTTGCCAATTTTCACCTAAATATTTATTTGAACCCAGTTCCCCTGCATGATGTAATTCTGAGTTGTTAATTTAATAAATTAACGAAGAAAACAGGCACGCGTAGATTGTTGGATTTCAGCCGTAGATTAGTAGGTATTTTCGCAGTGAAAAATGCTCATGACACTGGGGTTAGCAATATTATTTCATGTAGGGAGTTGCTTCATATACCAATAGAATCCTGACAGTACCTCCCTTGACCAAGATCTGAGGAACTTTCAGTCAGAATTCATCCGCTGGACGAATTGCTAGCTGAAGAAGACTTCAGCAGAAAACGCTTATTTCCCCATGTTTCTTCAGGATGTGGTTATTTATCTTTCAAATAATTAGTTTCTGGAATATATGGCATTCTACTAATTATCCCGATAAATAGCTGTTCTAAGTGGGATGTAAATTCTTCGCTGACAAAAAAAAGAAACCGACCTTTAAAATCATCTTTGGTGCACCATGGTCTTCTAAGAAACTAGTTATTTACCCTAAGTGAACTACTTTTTTCTAGCTTCCTGTTGGCTCCAACTAGAAATAAAGTTCATTATTGCTGTATGGCCATCTTCCCTGTTAGACCTAAGGTCTGTTCATAATACCATCTGACTCTTTAGACTGGCCCGCCTATTCCAGTCTTATGTCTGTACGAAAGTGTGTTTATTAACGATGATACGAAGACAGTATCGAAGTACACCTTCAAACTTAAACACAGAGCCATGGTCTTGTTTCCCGAAAACCCTACTGTCCGGAACCTGATCGAACCTGTGCCAATATACAGACAGACCGTTGAGAGCAAAATGGACAAATTTTCAACTGAACTGACAAACTTCTTTGATCCCCCATTGACTACAAGGACATATCCAGTCACTACATGAGTCTCTCTTGAGGATGAATATCGCGTCTAACACTGCGAAGCATGGTCTATCATCACCATCAGGCAATGGTTAGCCCGGGATATCTGTGAAGAAGGCTTGACTTCATTGCCTAATAGCGTTGTGGTGACATCTGTCTGCAAGCCAAAATTGTAAACAACATTTTACGTCTATGTTTACGTCCCGAATGGAGGTCATGAGAAAAAACAAGAACAGAGCCTAACTTTGAGGAACTCAACAACTAGTCATAGCAGATTTAGTGTGGGCGGATACAATTCACAGATATATCACCGGGCTGCCTAAGAGACGGCAACAAAGCGATGACAAAATAACCTTCAGCAGGAAAACGACCAATCAGAAGACGTTGCTTATCTGCTAAAATAACGAATAATCATGTACATAAAAATCTACGAATATCTGCTGATTTTCTCAATAAACGATCAGTTGCCTGGCCCTTGCATTCTGTCGTTACACCGTAACAAGAATCGACCACAAAAACAGTATAAAGCGATCTCCTTTCACTAACTTACGCTGGGGACATTCCAGCAAATATTTGGCAAAATCTAGCATACTCAGCCAGTTCAAATTTTGCCTCAAGAGGTTAAATATTCTGACTACATCATCATGTACCAGCTGGTGGCATTCTTATATCATCTCGTGGGGCAGCAAGTAAGGCATTGGCAACCGACCATTTCTCGAAAAGTTCCTTTAGTGTTCAGTCCTAATTCATCTTCTGATTGAGCGACGTGGTTAGCTATGCCGGCTGATCTGTATATGCCGTTACTGATCACCTGTGTTGCTGTGTCAAAGGTGATAGCCGACTTTTGAATGCCGGCGCTTCTTAATGTGTCTCGTTCCAACGCATGTACCTCGTATGCAATCTTAATAACTCAACTTGTTTTTCTGGTCCATTCGAAGTGTTTTCAAAAAGTTGACTTCTCTTAAAAATTTGCGAGGCGGTACCAATAATTAATTAATAATTAATGTTCCCTTGCCTTCCGAGTAGAATATGGGGCTTCAACAACACATATCCAACTTCTATTTTCTGCCATCCTCTTCAGCCTGGACCACGATTGACAATTACATTTCATCTCTTCCATACACGATCTCCTCCGTGTCAACCTCGTACTGACAACTCACTCGTCGCTTCCCATTGAGACTCCACTCGAGCTATGGCCTGCATTGGTCGAGATGTCATTCGACGGTCTCCTCAGCACTTACCCAATCCACCTCCATTTTCTCCTACATATTTGTTGAGCTATCGGCTCTCGGTTGGTTTGTTGCCTGCCAGTCAGAATTTCTCGTTGCTAATTCTTTCTGGCTGACCGGCTGGCCATTCGATCTACAGTATGGAGCTAGCCAGCGAATTTGGCAGCTGTTGATGAAAGTCTGCAGTAGCCTGTTGGAAATGCTTTCCATGACATGCAGTGCAAGTTTCTGACTCATATAGAAGAACTGACTGATTTGATACTTGTGTTGAGAATCCAAATCTTGTTGTTTATGCTGGCTGAGTGAGCGGAGAAGATTTCCGAACTGGTTTCAGATTGGTGAAGGTGTATCTTGCATTTTCGATTCTGACTGGCTGTCTTTGACATCTTCATCCTTGCGGTGTGCTGTGGTTGAAAGCGTGTTTCATAGATAAGTGAAGGAAGTGACCTCAGTCGAATTTCTCCCGTTGATAGTGACTGGTGTTTGTTGTTGGTGGTGTTGGTTTGTTATCTTCATCACCTCTATCTTCTCCATGTTCACCTGGAGTCCTGTCTCCTCTGCCTG